GCTGAATTAACTCCTGCTAAAGCACTAAAGCACTCACAAAACAAATCCAAGAGGACTCCGATCCAAGTACAGTATTTCTGCATTTCAGAAGCTGTTATCTGTCATTAATTTCAAAAGCTACATAATTATTTCTAACAGTGTACCAGAGAAAAAAAGGATACAGATTTATATTCTCAATACCAAAATTTTAAGAAAAATGCTTCTGTTAATTTTTTTTTTAATTTTTTTTTACAGTTTGGAATCAGAACAAAACACTGTAGGTGCATAAAAATGATCTTTATAGTCTTGTCAAGCGCAGTGGATTTGGTTTTCTTTCTTACAAAAGAAAAAAGTCTTGCTATGTGATGATAGCAACAGATGACAATATTTAATGCAATGACATTTGAGAAGTACTACCTCTGTAAGTACCATTTCAAAAGTTTTTCCACTTAAAACACTTGTATCTCAAAGACAAAGTTCTGCCGCCTTGGAGATATACGAGCGTTCATCTCAGCTTTTCCCTGAAACTCTTCTTCTCTGTGGGTTGGCTTGGTACTTATATTCAACTACTGACATACTAGGAAGAAAATTAATAGCTCTGAATCTTTCCTCCTGACAGGAAATGACTCTGTTCTGTAAAAGTCACGTTATTTGTTTATGCAGTTAGTCATGTGTTATTTGGAAAACTAAATGCTATTTAGTACCTGGACAAAACAAACTACCTTGATATATATTAAAAAAAAAAAAAAAAAAAAAAAAAAAAGAGAGAGAATTCTTAGGTTGCAAAAGGAAAAAAAAATTGAGTTTTGTCATCCTCCATTCCTGCTACAAACTAACTCAGAATGCAAGAGGACACCTCTGGCCCTTACCATTCCACACATGTGCACAGGACAAGGAAAAATTTTGTTCACAAGGTATATGCTTGCCTTGCTAAGAATTCCAGTGCCAAGAACACAAAATGAAGTAGTCAAAAGTTGAGTCCTAAGACAACAAATCTGAGAATTTAATGTTAATTTTTCTAAGAAGTGTGATTACCGTTATCTGTGATGCAGGATAAAAATACAAGGACTAATTTCTGTCTACTTGAGATAAATGATTCGTACAAGTTTTTATCATTTTTTTCCATGTAAAGATTGTCAAAAGAGCATTACACTATTAAAATCTATCAGCTCAGTGCTGTTACTTTTTTACTGACCATCAAGAGACTAATTTAGACAATTACAGGATAACCTATGAAAAAAATCAGCTGACAAAAGTCTCATGTAGTTCAACAAGGAGTGCAGAGTCCTGCACCTGGGAAGGAACAACCTCAGATTGTTCTGGACTTGCTGGGGGCCACCCATCTGGAAAGCAGCCTGGCAGAAAAAGACCTGGGGGTCCTGCTGGACACCAAGCTGAACATAAGCCAACAATGTCCACTTGCTGCTAAGAAGGCTGTTGGTATTCTTGGCTGCATTAGGCAAAGTATTGCCAGCAGGTCAAGAGAGGTGATTCTTACCCTCTATTCTGCACTGGTAAGGCTTCACCTGGAGTGCTGTCTCCAGTTCTGGACCCTCCAGTACAAGAGAAACATGGACATAATGAAAAGAGTCCAATGGAGGGCCACAAAGATGTGGAAGGGACTGGAGCATCTCTCCTACAAAGAAAGGCTGAGGAGAGGTGGGACTGATCAACCTGAAGAAGAGGCTCAGGGCCTTATCAGTGAGTGTAAATACCTGAAGGGAACAAATAAAGAAAAAGACAAGTCTTTTCAATGGTGCCCAGTACCAGAACAAAAGGCAGTGGGCAAAAAAATGTAACACAGAAGGTCCCATGTGAACATCTGGAATCTTTACTGTGCAGACGATGGAGCACTGGCACAGGGGGGCCAGAGAGTTTGTGGGGTCTCCCTACTTAGAGATCTTCAAAACCTGCCTGGACAAGGTCCTGGGCAACCTGCTGCGGGTGTCCCTGCTTGACCAAGGGAGTTGGACCAGATGGTCTCCAGAGGTTCCTTCCAAAAGCAGCCATTCTGTGCTTCTGTGACAATAATGAACTCTCTTATAGTGTCCAAGAAAAAAAAAAAAAAAAAAAAACTCAAGGTGAAATTTCTACAGGTGAGCACTATCACAAAACCAGCTCTCTCTGCTTTAGAACCTAAGTTAAATCACAGTCTTATCCTGAAATAAGATTAAACACTTAAGACTTAGAAAATATGAACAAAACATTTTGAAGTAAGTGAATAAAGGAAGGTGAAACAAAAACAACATGCACTGAAGTATCTTTGAAGGATCTTTGTTCTCTGTAATTGCTATTCATGTTACACAAAGTCCCCAGGGTCCCGAGACCCTCTAGTAAATACCCTGTATTAGGCCTATTATCCACCACATTAGAAGAAGCTGGTAATTCTCTCCAGTTTCTGGGATCATCATAGAATCATAGAATGACCTGTGTTGAAAGTGACCTCAAGAATCATCTGGTTCCAAACCCCCTGCCTATGGCAGGGACACCATCCACTACACCAGGTTGCCCAGGGCCTTGTCCAACCTGGCCTTGAAAACCTCCAGGGATGGGGCATCCACAACCTCTCTGGGCAACCTGTGACAGTGCCTCACCACCCTCTGAGTGAAGAACTTCTTCCTAACCTCTAAGGGAGAGAACCTCTAATGCATCCCAGTGAAACTGAAGGAAGATGCTTCTGCTGATAACAGTATCAAAAAATGTTCCCATAAAAAGCAGAGCTGTATCAATGGGAAAGATGCAGGAAAACACTTTTGAAACACTACTAGAGCACCTAAAAAGTAACCTTATACTTGGTTACAACTCCAACACTTCAGGAGTTCAAAGCACTGTAGCTATACACTTCTCTTTTCCTTATAATATATGAACTGGTTCATCAGATGAGATATCCAAAACAATGAAAACAAGCACACTGCTATTTCAGTAATTAATTTAGAATCAAATTTCTTAAGTTATTATAAATATCTTTACTCATTCCCACCTCCCCTCTCGCCTCAAATCCATTTTCACATATGCTGGTACAATTTGTTAGTTAGGAGCCAGGACAGCTAGCAGTTTCAGCAAAAGCCTGACTAATCCATTCAAGATTATTAATGTAGCCTTTGGGATTACTGAATTTAAAAGTTTAGCAATGCTTTATGAAGGTAAGTATAAATAGCCTGCTGATACTACACTGAGGCATGTTCATTTAAATATGTGTGTTTGGAAGTGCAACGTTTTTATTTATTTTAAAATCTTATGTCCTTTTTATAAAATAGTATACACAAGTCCTTCGGAAACTCTGCAGCGTACTTGGATAATTAATAAGCCCAATAAGTCCTTAATATTCACTACTTGTTGCTGAAACCCTATTTTCAATGGGAATTTTTCATGTTCTCTGGAAACTGGCTCCTTTTGCAGTTAAAAGCCTGCAAGTTAGCACTGACGTAGGCCTTCATCTGAAACTCCAAACTGTTCATGACTTTGCTGTGATCATCCAACCAGGACAGGGAAGCCAATACAGAATATACAGTAATAAAACATATTAAAGTACAACAGTGAAAGAAAATAAACAATTCTGCTTCGCAGTGCCAGAGTAACGCTAACAAAATGTCAAGTTATTCAGTCATAACAGTAGAAATGTAGTGCTGCCAACACTGCTCATACATACACACACTGGGGGGCTTCGACTGACTGAACCATACCACCTACCAATTACACATCTTCACTCACTGTCTAAAGTATGTCAGTAAAACTTGATGTGTAACACAGCTCTAAAGGAGTACTTAATTTCACATATGCGAGCTGCACTAGTAAAGGAACTACTTGTATGCAAAAAAAAGATTATAAACAAATGTTTTTTTGTGAACAATCAAGGTTTTTCTAAATAAAAGAACTGTTTTACTTTGAATTTCATTTTTTAAGTTAGAAACATTAATTTTCTTATTATGAAGTATTAATGTCCACATGTAACAATTATATTTGAAATATAAAAGCAAAAACCTATGCAACAGATTCATTAACCTGTCTTTCCACTAACAAGAGAACAAAAACAAAACAAAAAAACACTACATATCCTTCCCTTCCCCCCACCCCCCAAATCCAGCCACTATTACACCTTTCATGGAAAACCCAGGAAAGATCAATTATTTTAATCACTGTTTTACAAATTTCTGCAGGGAGTACAATGATTCCAAAAATAGTCCACATACAGAGCAGTACCGAATTTGACTGGGAAAATACAAATTATAATAAAAGGTTCCTAATCCAAATGAGTGCTGCTGCACCTGCTGCTATTTCCATAAAAGAGAAAAGAATAAATACTGTTCTTAAGAAATAGAGAAACAGATCTGCCAGAAAAGTACAATTGCCTACCCATAACTGCAGAGGACAAACAGCAATATTTTCCCAGGATTGAAAGATTTTAGATAGATTAAGCACAAGGCTTTTTTGAATCTACCATAGTATATGTGGTATAGAAACAAACAAATACGCACATACACAGGCTTTGAAACCACCTATTAAAGCTGTCAGTTCTCATCTTGACTAAGCACAATAAATCAAAACAACTACAAAGCATACTCTTGCATTGCCTGAATCTGCAAGAAAGTGCTGTTTCAGCAGAAAAATACTATGGTAATAGGGGAGGTTCTGCCTTGAAATTCTTATTAAAGAAACATTATATATGGTTAACAAAACATTTTCCACACTGTTTTGTTCTCCATAATTTGAAGAAGTCTTCTCAATTATAAAAACATAAAATATTCAACAAGATCCATCTGTTCTACCAGAATACTTTGCATTGGCAATTATGTAGTGAAAATAACAGCAGAAACAAGTAATTTGTGTATCTTACTTTCCCAACTTCTTAATCTATACTTTAATAGTCTGATATATTTAAAGATATCACCATCTATTAATCCTTCTATTCATAAGGTAACCTAACAAATATATTACTTTAAAACTAACCTCTATGTAACAGTAAGGACAGGAAAGCTACAGAAATAAAATAAAAATAAACACAATACTTATAATAACCATACCTAGTAATAAGAACCGCATTATCATGGTGGGCAATCCCATTTTCTGGAATGGTGTTTCCATCACTTTGGTGGGAGAGAATGGATTTCTGCCACTTACAGAAGCTATCGAGGGACTTGTCTGCATGGTGGTTTATCTCCAAGTTTGGCTGCAATACAACATGCATACCAGAAATGTTCCAAACAAATTACTAAGGTCAGTTGTTAAGCCTTTTGAAGACTAAAGCGGGACTATAATTAGAAGCAGTGGTTTCTAGGAATAAAATCTTCTTGCCAAATTTTATCTCTCTAAAATCTGACCCCAAGTTCAGTTGTACATTACTGAACAGGCATTCCTTCTGCTCCAATTAAATAATTACTACGTCAATACCAATAAATAAATAAATAAAATCTGAATTTCGATATATAGGTCTAAAAACAAAACTGACATCCCCAAAGGTGTAATAAAATATTCACCTGAAGTAAAGAACAGATATCCCTGGGATAATATGAGGGAAATATTCCTCTGAACTGTCTTCATCTTGATTAAAGTAGTGAAAGATTACAAGACAGGTTTTATATTCAGATGTAGCCATTTCAAGCAATAATTACATGAAATATATATTACACAGTAGCGTAACTTGTATTTCAGGGATATAAAGCTGAAGTGCAACAACTCTTACCTGATCTTCAGTGAGGACAATTAAACGTGTCACTATTATATTCACAACGTTTCCTAGACTGGAATCACGATAAAGTTTGGCAACCTGACCTCCAGAAAATAAGAAAAGGCACAAAGTCAGACAAGAAACACTATGCATTTCCTAAATGCTTAAAAATTAAACTATTCTTCTGCTCAGTGTAATTCCCTAATGTTAGTTATCACCATCACCTGCGTAAGATATCTTTTGATCAACAAATGACCATTCAGTAAAACAAATATACTACTTCTGTCAGAATTTTCAGCCAAAAAAATGTTTATAACTTGTTTCATAAACCATCCAACATAAGGAGCATTTAGACTGTTGATTTAAACAGAATAAAACTGTATAGTTTTAAATTAATCTGAATGTAACCACATGCAAGACAAACAATGTAAGTGATCACAGCATACTTCTTGGCAGAAACAGTACAGCATTTTTCCCCGCCATGCTTTTACCATATTTTAATTATTAATTCCTGCAACCAGATGCATAACCTTATTATGCCAGTACAAATGCTTTATAATTTCAGAACATGTATGTTAATATTAATACAGAGAGGGATGAAACTTACAATATTCATTACACTCAAAATGTAGTGCTCAATGTCTTTGCGACCATGATATCCCACCATCATTTTGTCTGCTACTACCAGCGTCTCCACAAACCGTTCAAGGCTTACTGATCTCTTCTGTCGACTGTGACTACTTAGTGTGTCATTGACTGGAAGTGAAGTTGGAAAAGCAGATGCATCACTCATCCACCAAGGTTTACTGCTTCTTGTGAGGTCTTCTAGGAACCAAAATAATTAAACACTTTAGAGAGGTCACTGGTAAAACTCATTCAAATGCAGCTGGTTTATGTTGAGATTATAATCTTTTAGCTTCTAAAAACAAGTCTTTCTTGGGGCAAGGAAAACTTACATTTATACTTTTTAAAAAAAATTAAAATATCTTATACAGCAGAAAAAAACTTGGTATCTAATTTTCATATTTTGAACTCTCCATAACTTGGCTTAGGACAATAAATCATCATCTTCTTTCTACAGATCTGATCCTGTACATCTATGTTAATACTAATGACTAGTTATAGTTAACCACGAGAACATTTCAGAATTTTAAGAACAAGATAGCTACAATATTTTGGGGAAAAAAATAAAATAGAAAATTCCAAATTAAAGTAAAAGGCATCAATATAGACTAAGGAATTAAAAAGACTGATAAGGCAACAACAAAAAAAAAAAAAAAAAAAAAAAAAATTTTCTCTGTTGTGAAACTCCATAATTAGGCAATTAGAATGAAACACCTAGAACATCTTGGACCAAATAAATAATTTTTCTCTTTAGAAAGCTATTTTATCTACCTCATGTATTAAAAATAATAGGAAGTCCAAGATGATCCAACATCGGTTAATTTTTGGTTATTTTTAACACTAATTGTTATTCAAATGTATTGATTCTTGTACTCATTTCATATAAATACCCAGAAAACATATTGCTTTTATGTAACAATTTGGTTATTACTGATCCAAACAGATGTAATTATCTGCAAAAACCTGAAGTGCTGTCCTCAGTGCATATTTGAACCTCTACTCCCTGCAGAACTGTCACTTTTATATTTATTAAGTATTCCTTTTCCACAAGGAGCCACACAGATCTCAAATTTAAGTTTATTAAAGTAGATAATAAGGCTAACATTACATAATTAGGACTTCAAAATGTCTGAAGTTTCTTTGCTAGTTATGGATGAACTTAAGAACATTAAGAAGTGAATATAATTCTTAACTGACTGACTAGGACTGCTTGAGTAGGCAATACCAGAGATACTGTTTCGACTAAGGTAAGTTGAGATAGGACCAGTACCACCTGTGAAAAAGCAATGCTTTATGCAATCCAACTAAACTTCACTGTTTTATAGGGCGGCAACTACATGACAAAGTATGCATGTTCAGGTCAAAACCAGGAATACAAAGTTCTCAGTGTTGCAGTATCCCACAATATTTTGTGTCTACAGTGTTGGCTTTAAAAGTTGCATTACTTTAGAAAAATTGAAAAATGCAAACAAACTGGGTACTTGACAAAAACACTAGTAATGAAATTGTCCTCAAACTAAAATGTGCATCAAATTATAACAATATTATACCCACTCTAAAAACATAGTATCAAGTATTAAAGCCCAGTGAGGATTCTGTTATCAGTACCAAGCTTTAAATTGTTTTCATCCCTATTCTAGGAAAGTTGAAGTTACTTTAATTGTTCAAAGATTTTCATCTCACTTAAGCAATGACTTAAGAATACCTATAATTATCTTCTGAAGTAAAATTTTTACAGTCCACTGCTTATTTTCAAGTAGCAGAGGGTGTTGTCTGGGGGCTTCTGATGCTCTTAGAGTGCTGAGTACCTTATAAATGTAATATTGCTTCCACATTCATTCATAATTTTCACCCAAAGATGCAAATCTGTTCTAAACATTTGAAAACCAATGAGCTCATGCTGAAAATTTTCAGAGAAAAAAAAAAAAAGCAAAGATTCTTCTGGACTCATCTTGATAGCATCTTTCAAATAAAGGTCTCAGGAGATTTCAGGAAAACAAACATTCCTCCTTATCAGATGAGAAGCTTAGGCTTCAGCTGGTCTCAAAGTAATGGGAAAGTTGGAAACAACACTGAGTACTTAGGCTCACACTCCAGAATCTATTGGTTCTCATGTTGTTATACTTTAAAAGCACTGAATGGTGTAACTAAATTTTCTTTAAAAAAAAAAAAAAAAAAAAAAAAAAAAAAAAAAAGCATTTCCATAAAAGTTTGCAGTATATTTAACAGATAGATTTTTGTGGCAAATTATGCCATTTTTCCACCACATTCACAGATTAAAAAAAAAAAAAGCTTGAAAAAAACCCTTAATCTTGCATTAACACTGAGTGTAGCTTTTGGGAAGTAAAAGAAAACAAGGGGGAGGAGGGTGTCAGAAAAGCACTACAAAGTAATGATTACAAAAAAAAAAAAAAAAAGAAAAAGGAAATTAGATTGTAAATTGAAGCTGAAAAGAAATCCAGATGCATGTAGACAAAGTACCAATGGTACTCAAATTTTAAGTCAGTCCTGTGAGGATACTATGTGGTGGGGAAGAGAGAGGAAGGAACACAACACACAAAAACAGAAGATGACTTCAAAATGGAACAGATAACTACTTATTTAAGATGTAACTGTGAGAGTATTTAAATGAAACATTATGTACTGCTACAACCTCATTTAAAAGATACACAAGCATTTTTCATTTCAGAATATGCTCACTGTAAAGTCTGGCATGAATAAAAACACCAGGTGAAACTACATGTAGTAGTGGTGCCATCCCTAAATAATTTGACACTTCTCAGGCTTCAGATGTCAATTTTTATTGTTTCTCAATCATATCTAAACAGTCTGTATAACTGCAACAAATGTTCTGGTCATTTTGTTTTTAAATTCTTGTAACAAAAGCAGGTAAAGAAATTTTATTTATACTTGAAGCAAAACAGAATTTCAACTCCAGACAAAAATACACATATACAGCTTTTCTGTAGAAAAGCATATTCCTTAAAATTGTGCAAATGCAAAAATAACGGACCATAAGTACTTTGCAAGCTTAACATAGCACATGCTATTGGGTATCAGCTTAAAATAAACATTTAAATAAGCTATGCAGACAAAAGAGCATATCACAGGTAACAGTCCATAATATATTTTTATTGCAAAAGTAATAATGAAGAATTTTAGCATGCCATCTAAATATTTATGTTAACACTGTAATTCTAAGCTATCAAATAAATTCCATGTGACATCATAGTTATACCTGCCTACTCGATGGCTTTAAGATACCTTTCTTTAGAAAACCACTTAAATGACATTACTGTTTTGGACACAAAGGAATGAAAATGGAAAAATAAAAAAAAATAACTCTTCTAGAGGTTGATTCTGCAAAGCATTCTGCAGGATAACCCAGTGGCCTCAAAATCCTTCTGAAGCAATTGGAATTTGAAGTTGCTCAGATTCTTAGCAAGGTCTTAATGATTTCAGTTACGTATAACAAAACACAGTTGAGTTGGTGACAATATACACATGAAATATTAATTTAGTATTTCTTGTTTTTTAAATGTTCTTACATCTAACTGCTTAAAAATCTAACTCAGGTTATGAAAACCAGACACTATTCTATCCTGTACTCTTATCTGAACCTAAACTACCTGCCAAATAGAGAACTATTTTTATTCCTGCCTCCCCAGTTCTGTGTACTGGTCCCATGTACTGGTCATCATAGCTCTATCTACTATGAAGTGGTCCATCACTTGATCATCCCAACAACTTCTGATCGTCCTTTCACCAAACTCCGTGCCTTGCTTTTTGTCAATTACTGTAATTTTTCTCAGAAGGGTCTGAAATTATACTCTTTGTCTCTATCAGCACAAAATCCTCACCACTTCCATGATACTCAACAGGTATACAATAAAGTTAGGTCTAGATAACAGAAAAAACTCAGCAGAACAGAGTGTGAATAGCAGCACAGTTACATAAGCACATTCCTCCCAGTATATTGTACTCGCAATAGTATTCTGAAAGTAAAGCTAAAACCAGTTTCCCATACAAAGTAAATGATATTCCGGCAAAAACACAGTTGTAATTTTGTTAACTTGTTGTGCCTTTTTCTTTCTTTTTGAACATTGAATTGGAGTCTTCAAAACTTCCAAAAACAGTGAAATGCCCCAAAGATTTATTCTACTAGCAATAGAGTTAGTAATTACCTGGCTTTATTTCTAGGGTTTGAAAGCTGAGAAACTGAAAATTAGTCTTTGATTTTATTTTTTAGATGTTCTGAGGATAGTTTGGATGCCATGTCACTTTGAGACAGAGGTTAAACAGTGCTCAGAAAATGAGTTGAAAAGGTTTTGGTAGTCAGATGGAAAACATTCAAACAGCATGACACCTGAAAAAATAAGATCTTGCAGTTTTGGGGGAGAACAAAGTTCTTCAGAAATTTTCAATGAGTGTAGAAGTATACAGAACAACAGGAAAAGAAGCTGAGATGAATGAGCATTAGAGTAATGAGGATGAGAGCATGAGGACTGCAAAAAACAGGGGGGAGTTATTTCAGTGATTAAGGGCTTCAGGATATGACATGTGAAAACTAGGGAATGCACAGGAGCTTCCAAGGATAACAGAAGCATCATATATGTAAAGGAATAGATGCTAAGGATTATTGCATGTTTTGAAAAAATGCATGCAAGATGCAAAGCTCTGATTAATCTATGATCCATAAGACAGATACTGCCAGAACAGTTGGATGCAACATCAAAATAGTTGCTACTGCTTTATCCGCACTTGGAGGAGACTGATTTCCTAAGCATTAATAGAAGATTATATCTGCATGATCCATTCTTTTTCTAGAGATATTAAAACAGTAAAAATTGCATTGTAGTACATTTTACAATCCTTCCACTTATTTCAGGAGGCTTATGTGACAGCATAACCTAATGAAAGAAAAAGATGGATGTTTCACAGATGTCTACTTTAAAATGCATAAACTGGAGCATCCACACACATCAGTTCTCTCATTTTACAAACAGCACACAGTAGTCGTTAGAAGACTTGTTTCATCATCATTAGAAGCATGTACACCAAATAATGCTTCCAAAACTAAAAAAGAAGTTACTTACATAAAGTTTAACATTTGCTACGAGTCTAAACAGTTAGAACCACTCAGGAAAAAAAAAAAAAAAAAAAAAAAAAAAAAAAAAAAAAACTCTTCCCCAAGCATTCGCTTTGTAGACCGTGTTTAGACAGTCTAGTCAGCTACTGCCAGTCGAAGTTACAATTTCTAAAAGAAGCAGCTGAAAGAAGGTATATCAATGAACAGTGATACTACTTTAAGACTAGTATTTGCCAGCCTGTCCTATGCACTGAATCTCATGGAATACTATGTCCGGGACTGTAGTTTTAAGAACAAGATATACATAAATGACAAGGTTAGAACATTTTTCTGCTAATACATATATATATATTTTAGTGCTATAAATCTAAAACAATTGGTCAGATTTACTCAAAGCTGTCCTCAAAAAACAAGTTTTCTGCATCACTTTAAGGAAACAAAAATCATTTCAAAACTAGGAGTACTAAAACACTAAACTGTTTTTGTAGACGTTGAAACTATGTTTTGGAAGAAAAAAATCTCAATCAAAACTATATAATCCATCCTGTAAAGCACCTTTAAATCACATTCTCAACTATCATGAAATAACATTAACCCACTGAACCAAAAGCCAGTATCAAAACACCATAAACATAACGAGAAAGGTATGGACTTCAGTTCCAGGTGTATTAGTAATCACTTTACTAACATATTTACTACACATCAAGATTTGTCAAATGAGATGGAACGCTTACTACACACTGAGCTGTAACACAGTCACTCAGGTCATGCCTTCCAGATGGGAAACAAAGTATATTTATACTGCATCCAGCACAGGAAGCCTGTGCTCATCACTACCAGGGTATACAATATAGCAACAAAACAAGACTTACTCCCAGTGCTGTATTTTTACATGGACACTATATTCTTCATGTGAATCTGAAAAAAAAACGCAAAGCTACTTTTTGTCACGGCACATTGTATCACCCAAAAGAAGGATTCCTATTGCTACGTTGTACCTTACCTGTGAACCAAGAAAGACCTTAAAATGCAACTTAAGTTAATATATTTTAAAAGCAATGAAAACACAACTGATACTCATACTCATTTACCTGAGACTCCACAGTGACCATGATCATATAGGTGTTGCTGGTACATGATAGACTTTTTGTATATAACATGAGGATGACCATTCTCATAATTAAAGTCACTGGAATTATCAGTTATATTCCTTAAAGGCTCAATAAAATACTCTTCATCTTCCGTAGCAATAACTCCATGCTTAAGGAAGAAAAGAAGAAAATAAAAACTTGCAAAAAAAACCAACATAAAACTCATAATAAAAAGCTTAGTTTTAAATAACATTTGGCTATCATTTATTTCTGTTAAGAAATCCACAGCTATAAGTCAAAAGAAAATGCATGAACCAGCTCTCTTCCAGTGACTTTAGTGAGAGCAGGAGTAAATACCTATAAGCAACGCGATGAGAAAAGAATAAAAATATCATTGCCTTACTTAAGGAGTTCTTTCCCACCTTTTTTAAGTAGATGCAGCAAGAAGGGAAGAGATACTCTTGGTATAGGACAAAAAAGCTGTTCACAGACCTGTTCTAAAACTATATTATTCATAGCCATTAAAAATGACACCAAGCCAAAATGGTATTGCTCAAACAGTGAGCCCGATATCCCACTATGATGCCACACTAGTAGATGCCTAATGCCATAAAAACTGCAGGAAGAATTAATTTTAGACAATATTATTCAGCAAGAATATTCAGCATTTTACATCCAGATGCTGAATTCCAGAACTGATCTAGTTATTAAAATCAAACTATTAACTTAGACTACACTATCTACAAAGCATGTATTCCTTAAAAAGTCTCATCACAAATCTTCGGCAGATCCAAGTTGTTGCAGGCTATGTACTAGACATCATGCTCTGTAACAAATGCATATTTTTCCCCTCACACTGCAGTACAGAATGGTAGATATTCTATTCTCATAACTTTCACATTTGTGAACTCAGCTTCTTCCAAACAGGAAGTGGTTTATAGAGGAAAGGGGAGACTTCAGGCCAACTATGCAATTTCCTGAATCTTCAGCAATTAAAACTGAACTTCAGCAGAAAATCCAGTTTGGGGATCCTTTTGGGTATAGAAATACTGAGGAGTAAGCTCTGACAGGCAGACTCCCACACTTTTATTTGCTAAATAAATAATTCCAGTAACTTTATCTAGGAAATTCTGAATGTATAATCTCTCTACACTAGTAGAAAGAGCTACTGATTAGCATGAAGACTGGAAGCAGTAAATTCTGCATTCATATCTTGATCTGATGAATTGCAAACTAATGTAAATCCCATTAAAGCCACAGTGAAGACTGTTCAAACACAAGAAAGCATCCATAACTGCACCTTAATTCATTCATCCTTATTTAATCTAACTCATGAGGAGTTAAGAGTATTCAACAAACACCTCATATGCTGTTCTCAAGACATATCTTCAAATATTTATGTGCACGTCATCTGAACTCTGCAGTGTTCCAAGAAGCAAGCCTATCTCAAAGTACTTCTTAAAGGCTGTAAATATTACCCTATCACTTTGAGAAGAAACCAATACCTATGTTTCTATCACACCTTCAATCTGTACAACAAGTACTATGTGTGAGGATTTGGGGGGTTGGGGTTGTTTTGTTTGTTTTTAAAGGGGATATTTTTGTTTTCCTCCAGTAAGACCTCTAGGATAAGGTGTAAGACCACTTGCTGTACAAATGATCCAAACATCCCAAACCCATTTCTAAGATCAGGAATTGCCATTGTCCTTTTGGTCAAAGCTCTTCTGCTGCTCTTTTGTGTATCAACTGCCTGCTATTCTTCACTCCTAGGATAACCAGATTTCAGTAACAACATACAACTTTTAAAATAAAAATGCCTGTATAACACTTCAGAAAGAACAATGCTTTCCAAATATAACCCTATTATATATTCTGCAAATATATGCATGCCGTTCATTTTTCAATTAAGTGTTCCTTACATTGTGACTACAACAGTAACTCTTCAGTGGTATTTTTCATTGTGAACTCAATTATTTTCTCAAGATGGTAACATCAGGGTCTATATTCACCTGGACACCAAATTTTCTCATAATGCTTCATTACTTGAAGTCTAAGATTTTACTACAGAATAAGTCACTTAATGGTACACTGCTGCTTAAACAGTCTTGAAAATATAAATTGAATTGTAACTAGCTTTGCCAGATGTGCAGAAAGAACCTTGACAGTCTGGACTGCATCCAGTCTGGATGTCAGACATCTGGGTTCAAGTGAATCCCGAGCCATTGTAAGCTCTGGTATTATGTTCCCACAGGAAAAGAAAGTCCTGCGGTGGTTCTGGCCAACACCATCAGGCTGTCTGCTTTGTGCCAAGTCTGAGGAGAAGTACCATCCAAGCTGTGGCCCTGTCTCTGCAAGAGAAGTGCCTTAACCTAATTCTGATTACTCTAGGGCATACATCGTTCATGCCTGTACTCAAGTCCAGCAGGTAAATGAGTTTTAAGGAGCAAGATGACTGCAGTGGAAGTCATTTCAAATGCCATAAATGACACTTAACTGCAGCATTGATTTTGTAAACAAACTGTGTAAAGGAGAAGTAAAAGCTATTACACACATTTGTGAACTATGACAACAGTTGGGAGGTTTCTTCCAGGTACCAGCAGTGAAAAAGGCTGGGCAAGTATCATCCATTTTTCCTATGCCTAGTCAATGTCCAATCTCATCTGTTCAAACACTATGTCAGATTAAGAAAAAGAGATGTTAATAACAAGTAGTCAAGGAACTGCAAGTAAATTTTAACTTACACCTGCTACCAGGCAATCAGAATATGCATGTGGTCAGTTGTGGCAGGTAGCCATGTGATTTGATAAACACTGGAAATTCACTTGCTCTGCATATACCCTTCACATAAGCCCTGCATACTAACACCATTTTAAACCCAATGTAATCAATTTTGCTTGCAACCAAACTGCTTTTCCAGTATTAACTCAACAAGACCACTTGCATCAGTTTAAAGTGCATGAGTGCATGATTTTTTTTAGAAACATTCCAAATTGTGCACAAAAGAAATACCTATTTCAGTGAAAAAACAGCATTTCTTCTGGTGCCTAGAGGTGCTTTCATTGTATATATATTCACTAATGCCCAATTGATAGTGGGAATATTTGGAATTACACTATTCTATCTGAACCAACATTTTAAAACCCATTTCTGGCTTATCTCCTGTTTGGGCAAAACAATGTTTCAGTTGAAAAGGGAGATTGAAATAATGCCTTATAAAGCATTAAAAGGAAATATATGTAAATGTGTTGTCTTTTTTGCTTGCTTTGTGTGTTGTTGTTTTTTTTTTCCTGTTCATTTTGCTATCATATTTGAACTTAAAGCAACTTCCACATTGAACTTCTGCTCCAAAATACAAGAAATATTAAGACACAGGAAAAAACAGCAAAACGTTCTAACAAAACACCATTAACTTAAGAAATAAGCTGAATGCCCAAGTAGGTTACTACAAGCAGCATTCCCAAGACTATTATCTAAAACAGATTGTTTGAGGTCCTGTCTTATCCAATCCCACTACAGACTGCCAACTCCTGCTAACATATATAAGGTCTGAATCCAGCAGTTTGACATGCTCAGACAAATCTGTGAATCCACATGCAGTTTCCCTGAATTTGTAAAAAAGAAAATCTGTCTAGCTGGGGCCTCACCTTATTTCAGACAGGGGATGCCCATCACCTACAGAAGTAACAGTTAACATGGGTCTGGGCAGCCTGCTCTAGTGGTTGGCAACACTGCCCAAAGCAGAGGGGTTGAAACTAGATGATCCTTTTCAACCCAGGACATTCTATGATTCCATGAACATCAGTTATAAAATTTATTACAGAGGACAATTGCCTTTGCCTCACAGTACTACTGGTTTCCAATTTCTGCCTACCTTGAACCTTTCTAGACATTACGCTTTACATTTTTAACATAAAGCAGTAATAATGGAAACTTCTGAGAATGTGTCAGTGTTGTTCAATGTGTCTACAGCTGACTCTACACTTCAATTTATGTCTAAGGAAACAGGCTGCATTAGCTTCACATGTTCTTAAGGATAAAAAAAAATAGTGATCTGGCCTGGGACAGCACAGTATGGGATCTAGTAAGTCATTTTAAAACTAGGACAGGGACAGTTTATATGTAATTTTCTGAATACTGAGCCTATACTGCAAACACAGATTATTACCAAAGAGAACTCAAAGTGCACCTATCTAGAATACAGAATCTTTTTCATTACTTCTGACCTTTTAAATCAGTTCACAGATTACAAATTTTACATATGATTCAAAAATATCATATGATATGTAATTTATGATCTGCAAAAGTAGATGCTTTCTTTGTGGTAGAATCAGCTTCCAAATGAGCTAATCTAAGAATATGAATAATTTATAAATATACTAGTTTTGTAATATATTAAACAAACATGAAACATTCCTGCAAAATAATTCTTCCTTCAAGTATATACAGTCATGCTTTTAGACATTTCTTGGGTTATCTTTATCTTATCTGCTTAAACAAAGATAGCTGTGCTACTTAGCACAAACATTGCTCAGTGTATGGAACTTTACATGCCATGGAAATCCTTGGCCCTTTACATTCAGTATTTCCTTGGAGTGACAGTAGCCCCAAACTGACATTTAGCCCCTGATTCACTTTCCTTATAATCATCACTTTCTACACATGTAGAAAAGTGTAGAAATAGTATTTCTTTCTATTGGGCTTGTCAGCTTAAAATGAGAAAATCCACTGCAGTGAAAAACTTGAACACTCAATTAAGAGCTTTGACACCCAGCAATGGACAGAGGTGGGTCAGAACAGGACAAGTTTGACTTCTGCTCAATTCCAGCATTATGAGCTCCAAAACTTTTCTTCAAGACTTGTTTCTCTCAGAATTAGCTTAATCTTTCCCTTAAGGTAAAGTTCTCTCTTCAGCCACTGTTTCTTATATTCTTTACTTCAGGATGACAAAATCAGCTTAGGCATTGCTTCAGCTGCTTCTGACTCAGCCTTGTTGCCTTGTACCCAACAGTTCCAAAATACTGTTCTTTGCAGGCCCTTTCATGAGAAGGCCAAACCTGCAATCCATCTACAAATGTAACATCCAATACAGTAAATATGAGTTTGGAAGCCAGCAAGCCTGATGGACAAGACCTTCAATTTCCTCACATGATTGCTCCCTGGATTATAGAGCATTTCTCAAAACTTCAGACAATTTATAGCATAATCAGGGCCCAGCCAATGGAAATTGCTGGAATCAAACTTCTGTAGCAGTCTATAATTCTGGGGAGTCTGGTAATTAAAAAGAAAATCGAGAGGGAAAGGCTGAACCAGGAAATAGTGATGGGGAAACAAACTGGAGGCTGGTAAGTTTTACGATAGTGAAACACAGGAAGCCCTTCTTGCGCTGGAACTCATCTCAGATACTACAGATGTTCTTCAAATTTGTACAATTTATGGTAGTTAAACCACGGTCTCACGTAACCACTTTGCATAACTAAAGAGAGTAACTCAGAACATTCTGTAGGGGGGAACAAATTTGACTCATCTGGCAATACTGATACCTCTCAGGGAACAGGAATAAATGGAATGCTTAAGTTTTGCTTGTGAGCACCACTCATCGTTTAAGATTATTACTTGCTTTAGAGTTACTCAATTTAAAATGACTGGCTTTGGGACAGATTTTAATCGAAGACTATGCAGAATATGACTGGCAGTCTCTTACAGACCAAAAATCAGACTGGAAAATACAACAAATGTCTTGAGCACAAATATATTCTGAACTACTATTAATTCAAAAACAAATAATAGCACCCTGAATATTCACTGCCAATTGCTTTATTAAACATGTTCTAACCAGCAGCTTTATAATAAGATACTTGCCAGTAGGAATCATCATTTAAAAATAACTCTGTGATGGATTTATCTGAATTGAGTGGTAACTCCCATAAGCAGTGCTCTGGGACAGTGTGCCAATGCAGTTCGACACAGGAGTTTCTGTGCAGTAGAGGACCATATTGAGTCCAGCCTACCACTGCACAGGTAGAAGGATTAGAAGGATCCTTGCCTCTCTGATAAAGAACCATGTGTCACTACTGCTTCCGGAGCATGACAAACACCTTGAGTGCATGTCATTCAGCCTTTCTAGCAGATGCAGTGGACAACTGACACTTGCAGTCACAAGTAAATGGCAGGACTCAACAGTCCCAGTCATGGCATGCCCAAAAACCTGAGGGTGCCACTACAAATACCAGGAAGAAATACAAAAGAACTAACAATAACTAACAGCTCTGAAGCTGTTAGTTATTAAGCTCTGACAACTTAACTGGGCAGCATGCCACATTGAACCTAACTTTGAAACACAAAATTAATGTATGACACCTAGACCCACAGAACTAGGTCTTCAGTCTAGCCAAGCAGCATGGCTGGAGACAGGGAAAACACACAAAAATGGGAGTGCCAGTCACCTCGGGGTGTGAGGCACAAAAGCAAAAAATGATTCCGCTTTGCCTCAAGAAGATTTCACCGAGCAGTGACACCTACCATGCTGCTAAGTTCTTGAAGAAAAAAAGTGCCATGAGGAGCAAGAGACTGGGGAAGTTGATACGAAAACATGTCAGTTCTCCTGCCTCGTCCTACTCTTGTTTTCCTAACATGACAGGAAAACAAGCGTTGGCAAAGTCAAGAGTAAGTGCTCTTGATTCACTCCCTGGCAAATGTCAAAGAGGTACCAAAATAGGAACACCATGTCACTGACAGCAGGCTTCAAGGTGGGCAACCTGTCTGTGCCTCAACATGTAGAAATGCTGGTGAGACAGAGACATACAGCCTCTTCTAAAGTGAATCCTGAAAGCAGGGATTTGCTCTCCCTAGTGTTTTTAGATGACAAGAACTCAAATGCAAAGTGATCTAGTGACTCTAGCATAAGAGCTTTAATAATGGCATCAAAAAGGTTATTACATGGGAACTGCAAAGCCGAAGTAAAAGTTGTAATGAATTCAGACTTATCATCTGCAAGTCTGCATTGACCAAACTAAGGTGCCACATTCAAGAGGTCTACATTTTAACTTTGTTTCTTTAGAAATGTTAACTTACCCCTGCAAACCCTCATGAAATTATTTTTCCTCAAGAGCTCCAAAACGTTAACCTAGACAGTATCAGGGACAACACTAATAGCTTGGTGTAACGTGCTCTACCTAGGTATGAAGCAGCAAGCCTTTGTAAATAACATCCCAAGAGTCATAGTTCTCTAGCACTTCTAAGGATTAAAAAGGAAATAGTTTAGCAAGTCTGTGTAGTGGTGTTTTTGTTTTTGCCTCATTTACAGTTACTTAGATCTGTTCACTCTTAACAAGATTGACCAGCATTTTGCTATATAAAAACTGAATGAATAACCACAGTATATATTTCAAGAGAGAAGATACTGAGCTCTTGATTTAGTATTTCCTAGTCCTGCTCTTTAATTTCAGTATTTTGCTACTCAACAGCATGGCTTTTTTGTTGCTGTTTTCCAGTTTTTGTTGTGAATAAGAGTTTTTTCCCCATGGAATTACTACTATCGTGTTACCAAGAGATGAACAATAAAAGCTGAGCACAGAGGACAGAATTTCTAATCCTACTTTTAAATGCAACTGTCTGATTTGTAGACAAAATATTTCTAAAAAATTTAAATCATTACTTTCCATGGCTGGTACTTGCAAGTGATCTACTTTCCTCTTCATTCTAAACTTATACCAACAATGACTACTATACCAGGCAACTCATCATCTTTGTTATTTACTTCAAGTTTCTAAACCCAAACTCACAAAGACAGCAAGGATGACTGTTCAGTTCAATTCACATCTCACTGAAGAGATTCTGTATCCTAAAGGAATGACTGTTCCTCCTTCTTTCCCAAGTTTGCAACATTTTGATCACCTGTAATCATCTCTCAACAGCCCTAATCTTGCAGTCCTAGCGCAGACACTGTTAAACACTGAAAATGTTGCCCGCTAGAGGACTACAGAATTGGGTCCTAATGCTTACAATTAAACTTGAAGAACTGAAGACAACTTTTCCCCAGGACCCAGATCAGGTTTTAGGGGATTGCTGTACTTTCCTGTGTCTGCTTCTCAAAAGGATTCAAAAAACTGAAATGCCAGTTAAGTTCTTCCATGTTTTAAAAGGAACAAACACAATATTATTATACTAAAACAGGTAATGTGCACTTACCAGACCATTGCAGTTGCTTAAGGCCACTTTAGTTGTACTGTGTTGGTCTTGCAAATATCCTGTGTAATGACAGTGGTCTAAAAAATCGTGCTTCCATAGGGGTCCATCTTTCCCCCAGTATTCTACTGTAAAATGTCTGGACACCAAATCTGTGTTGAGAGTCAGGTTTAAATGAAAGTGCTTGCCATAGGCAGAAAGTTTAAAAAATAACTTAGATGCTGCCAGTTCTTGGTCATAGGGGTCTGTGCTCCTCCTCCTTCTTGAGGGTTTAGCATTTTTCACAGTAAAGCTGAGGAAGGCTCCATTTTGATCAACCCTTATTGGGATTGTTAGCTGGTAGTGTTCAAGATAAGACAGGAATTCCTCTTTGTAATCACAAGGTAAGACAGTCCATGGAGTGGGCATAGAAGAGAAGAAAATATAACAGGAAACAACAAGTAGTAGTATAAATATACACCATATTTTGGCTAAATCTCATCACCCTCATGCGTAAAAGTCATTTTCAGGTAAACACATGATGTAGATAGAGCTTTACTAAAGAAAATAAACTGTTCTTTCCTTCTTTTTAAGTCAACAAAATATGTTCTCTTTCATATTAATCTGATGTCACTGGAAATAAAGTTTTTAACTATGTATCTTTTCCTATTCACCCAAAATACGTAAACATGGGGCTAAATTCTACCTAAGAAGGACGTATTCTTCCCAGTAATACCATTCAAAGACAAAAGCTATTAGATCCACCTGCAAGAATAAAAACAGTAGTAATGAAAAGTACTGTATTGTAAAACATCCAAATGACTCGTCTTTCCATTAAAAACCTATAAATGTTAATGGATCAAAGTAAAATTACATCCTTACTTCCTAGTTTAAAAACATGATAATGACTTTATGGCAAGTCTTTAAACTATTATAAAGTACAACATTTTACCAATTTAATTTACAACGTTTTTATATGGTTAAAGCTAGAAAGAAATCAGAGCAACAATTCAATCAGCTTTGTTCTAATCAAGCTTGAATGACAATGAATCATTATAAAACTAAGGCAGAGCCTGTATGATCTCATTAATTATACAAACATGGTTTAGAAAATACTTCCCAAATGCAAAGTAAAAATCAATGACTCTTGTCAGCTACAGAGGTTGGACCCCTACCTTGAGAACTATACGTAAGCCTGTTGTCACTGTGAAATTCCGATGCAACCATGACTAGGCTCAAAATCCATGTCCACGTCTTCCAAAAAATTTCCATAATTTAGAAAAACAGAGAGCTTTTTTTTTTTCCTCCTCCTTGGAGGGCTACCTGTGTGCTATAGAGCTAACTCCACTCCAGAATCGCACCATAACAGGTCTATTTACTTTATTCTATTTCCAAATTAACTATTGGATGTTCCACTTTTTGACGGGTATTCTTTTCCAAAAACCTGTACTTTCTTCTAGATATGCAGTCATTTTCTCAATTCAAAATAAGTAGTTGTAAGATTCCTTAAGATATGAGTAAGATGTTAGACTGGGTAGCTACTGAACTTGCTCCGTTTCTTTTCCTGAAAAACAAAACAAAATGAGTCAAGTTAAACTTTCTACTAAAACAGATCTGTCCTGCAAAACATTAAGCCACCATAACATACTATGCAAAATATAACCGTAAAATAGAATTCATCCATTACCAATTTTAATACCCGAGATCACAATCTTAAAAAAAAAAAAAAATACCATTAATCTTTTACTAATAGCTCTACACAGCTTAATATGCGCATATCTGTTTCAAGTTGAACAGGTGTGACAATTTATAAAATTAAGGTTTCTTATTGCTCAAATACTGTGTTCAGACTTGTTCCAGCTCTAATCAATGCACTGTAGTCATCAATTTCAGCACAGAATAGCTATACCCAATACACTGGTAGACACAGGAAGAACCTGGGAAAGAGTCCAGAGCAAAGTTATCTGATCTTTCTGCAGCATGTATTTTGTTATTACTTGGGCCTGGGTTCTGCTTATGCAGGCAGAATTTTCATTCACTTAAATGAGAACACTGCATTCTAGTACCAGAGAAACAATTTCAGTATTTGAAATTATTCACATGTTCTGAGATTAAGCATTTGTTGTCAAAAATGTTTTATGTATACAAACTACAGTTGGATATAGCAGAATATATTCTTATTTTCATTTTGCGGGTCATGGGATTGGGAGAAAAATGCTTTATTTGCCCTCCCTAGCCCCATTTAAAACACTCTTGCAATAATACCGAAAAGCAGCTCTAGCTGTGGCCAGGGATTAAATGGAAGGTCTCTGCAGCCACCTAACAGTCCAGTAACATGGGACATGAAACCATGTGTTGTGTCAGCTGGTAATAATCAGTCCTCTTAAGCACTCTTAGCACACCTGTGCATAGAGCAAACTCTGCAGAAGCAGGCAGAACAGAAACAGAACACCTGAGAAGGGAAAACCGTTTAAAAACACATTACCAAAAGTGTACACAGTCACTTATGCATGCACCAGATGAATTTGCCTTTCTAAAATTCTGGGAGAGATTTACAATGCTCATTCAGACAGGAAATTCCCCTGCAGTCCATGGATAATTTGTAAAGGTTGAAGAGTTGTATGTCACCTTGAGAAAAGTCAACATCACGCAAATCCCATTTACTAACATCACAGTGAATATCAGGAAACTTCTTAGCCAATTTGAGATGTACCTGTTACCAGTAAACGACCTGACCATTCCAATGCCTACTTTTAACATTTTTTCCAAGACAGCACACACGATTTAATCAGGTTTGTAGGGGGAATAAAATATACTTTACAAGCATAGTTTGGACTTAGAAATGTATTTTTTTTTTCCTGAGGAAGCAAAAGAATTTAGTGATGCCATTCACATAAGGCAAGGCCTTAGAGGATGTTAATATGATCTCTGATCTGGCCTTCCACGTAAAACCTTTATTTTCTAGCTAATATTTAATTACAGCTTTCAGCCTTTTTTGAAGAGGCATAATCAATCCCATATTCTTCAGCTACATTAGTACATTAAAGAATATGCCTTACTTCCAACCTGAGAACATCCAGTTTCAAATTCCACTGCATCTTGCTTTACATGTCTGCTAATGAGCTTTTTTCTCCTTGCACAGACAGTTATAGTCTGATACAATCAACTCTTGACACTCCCTGATAAGCAGCTCAACCTACTCAGTTTACCTCACTATGCAATACAGTTTCCAGATGCCTAATTATTTCTACAGTTGTGGTGGTTTTTTTTGTTTTGTTTTGTTTTTTTCTGAGTCCTTTCCAATTTGTCAGCATCTCTTTTCATGCACAGACACCAGAACTGGACAGTAGTCCAGCAATGACTCCGTACTGCCATATATAGAGACAACACTGCCTCACAGCTTTTACTTAGCCAAAAAAAATCACAATGGGGAGCTCACGTTCAGCCTGTTAGGCTGATAATAAATTACCCAAGCATTAAGATATCTGAAATTGTGGTGCCTAGGGAGCTCAGTAGCTCTGAATACCAGAAGCAAACTATGGTGCCCAGTACTTAGCTGCCACTTGGTTGACAGCACGCAAGCATCACCTGTGTCCCATATTCTTTCAGGGGTCTGTGCAAAATGGTGTCCCTCATTCTAAGCCTTGGTCCTCACATAAGAGGACATAAAGCTTGCTGGAAGTTTCAGTAGAACTTTTAACCTCCTTTCCAAAAGTATTGTATCTGGCTTGTGCACTGAATACAAAGAGGGCAGATGCAGCTGTATTAAGGCTCTGGATTAAGAAACTGGAATGGATGTGGAGGAATAGAGCAGTCAGGTAACTCCAAATGGAGTACTGACACTATGAAGTGACCAGCATCTACACCTGCAGCATCTTCCTACTTATGAGATCTATTTTCAGCTTTGCAGTTTTATTGTGGTCATCAAGATGACTCGTGTCATCAGCACTAAACTAACTAACAGTGAGAAGCATTTCCTCTGCCTCACCGCTGAACTACATCTCCCTCAGGTAAAGCAGGTACAGGTACGGCTCCCTAACGTTTACCTGAAGGTACAGTTCCTGCCCAATTACACCAGTACTGCCAGGCAGCAAAGAAAAACCCATTCTGGGTTTCTAAACCCAGAATGCTGGTGCCACAAGCGGTACTGTGCAGTGGGATTTCTGCAGAGGCACTTGTGGCAGTGCCCGGAGGCTCCTGCTCACCAAGACTCAACGAGGATTAAAAGAAAAAAAAAAAAAAACAACTTGAAGAAGGGGGCCCGTGAACACAGCGAGGGAGGCTCTGGGGCAGGATGCGGATGACCGCGGGCCACCTCGGCGGTGAGCAGGGAGGCGGCGAAGGCGCCCGGGGCACCCGGAGCGTCCCCTCGACTGGCCCCGGCTCAAGCCTGACGGCCGGCAAACCGCCAAGCGACAGCTCCCCGCCGCGCCGGGCGGAGCACCGCCACACGGGCTGCCGGCGGCGGGCTCTCCCGACGCCTTCCACACGCCTCCAAGCCCCGGCGGCACAGCGGGGACCGGGAGAAGGGGAGCGACCGGGGGGAGAGACCGGGGGGAGCCCCCTCCCCTCCCCGCTCCCTCCCTCCCCCGGGCGACGGCCGCGCCGCGGGGCCCAGCGCCCGCCGCCCCTGACGGGCGGCCCGCCGGTGGTACGAGCGGTTGCTACGGCGATGGGGAGAGGAGGGGAGGGGAAGGAGGGGAAGGGAAGGGGTCAGGCAGCCGGGTGCCGTGGCAGGTATCGGGGCCGGGGAGCAGCAGAGCCCCCCGGGCTGGGGGCAGGTGGGAGAGCCGGGGGGGGCTCGTTCTGCCCCGCGGACAGGAGAAAGCGGGGAGAGGAGCGCGCACACGCACAGCCGGGGTCCGCTGTCAGTGTCGCCCTGGGGGCGAGAGATACAAAGAGGCACGGAGAGCACGCCCGGGGCTCGAGGAGTGTGTGTGTGAGGGAGTGTGAGTGTGTGTGAGTGTGCACGCACAGCCCCTGCCGTCTTGCACACGCGTCCGCGCACACGAGCCCTTCACAAGAGCGGCTCAGCGGGAAGTGCTGGCGTTGAAGCAAGCTGGAGGTCACCAGACACGCATCCCTCAAAGCGGATTCAGAAGGGGAAGGAATGAAAAGGGAAAAAAAATGAATAAAGAAAGAAAGGAGAGAGGAGAGGGAGAAAGAAAAAAAAAAAAAGAGAGAGAGCCCTCCTCCCTAGGGAGACGGGAGGGAAGAGTCTGGTTGCTGCGGTGGAGCTGATCCTAAAGTTAACTTTCAGCAGCCCATTTCCAGACAGCAGCGCTAAATCTATTTGGATAAAACGCGTGTGACCCAGACACTTGGCGTTTGGCCCAAACGCGTTGCACCGGCAGCCCAAATAAAAACAAGAGTCTGACTCTCTCCCTCCCTCTCCCTCTCTCTCTCTCTCCTCTTGTACAACAATGAAAGAAATTAGCGAAGACAAAACCCGCACACACACCGCCGGGCAGCGAGAGCCCACTTACCTCCCCCCACCAAACAATGTCCCTTTGAACCCCGGGGCCGCTGCGCAGGCAGACGTACTCCGATTAAAAAAAAAAAAAAAAATAGAAAAAAAGAGGGAAAAAAAAAAAGGGAAAAAAAAAAAAAGCGCGGCTCCGCGGGGTTAAGAGTCTGGCAATTCCCAGGCGGCCCGAAGTAAATCAAAACCACACGCTTCCATCTTCCTGACGAGCCCGGCGAGCGGCGGGGCTGCGGGACGGCGCTGAGCCCAGCCCAGCCCAGCCCAGCCCGGGCTCCTGCGCCCCGGCACGGCCCCGGGACGGCCCCGGGACGGGCTCCGGCCGCCCCAAACGCCGGGCTGCCCGGGCTGCGAGCAGCCCCGAGCTGTCCTGGGCTGCGGAGGGAGGGAGGGAGGGAGGGAAGGAGGGACGGGACGGAGAAAGGGAGGGAGGGGGGGGGGGGGGTTGCTGCTGCTTTGGTCTGCATCTGGTTTTTGGTTTGGGGATTTGTTTTGTTGTTGTTTTTCCTCTTCTTCCCCCGTCGGCCGCCGGTTTAGTATGGAAGTCGGAGAAGATGGAAAAAAGGGAGCAGGAGTGGAAAAAAAGTTGCACGGCTCGAGACCGTAGTGCACAAATCGCTGCTCGTCTCGGTCGAAAAATCCTCGCACCCCCTTCCCCCATCCTCAAAGGTTTCTCTCTGAAATTACTCCAAATCCACCTCGCCTAATGCAAGATAAAGCTCCCCCCGCTCCCCGAAGCCCTGCACGCACCATTACTCGGGACACGAGAAAAGCAAAAGTTTCATTGAATAGCGCGAAATCTTCCTTACCGTTCTCATCTTCAATTTCTGATATAAAGTAAGTTTCAAACAATAGAGATTGCACAGGACGGTTCCCGTATTCCTCTCTGCTTTTCCCCTCTGAGCAAGCAACCACCGGGGTTATATTCTCCAACAGAATCAAATTCTCTAGCCTTCCTAAAAGGGTTTTTTTTTTTAGAAAACGGACCGACTTGGCAGGAGGAAGGATGCCATCAATTCACCCAACCTATCACCCTGCACATTTTGTCTTTCCAACGAGGAGCGGGGGGGTGGGGGGGTGGGGGGGTGGGAGGTGGAGGGGGGGGGGAGGAAGGAAGGAAAAACAGGCTTATATTGGGGTGGGGGTGGGTGCCCTCCTCTCGAGCAGCCTCCTCTGTGCAAAATACCATGTGAATACCGTGAGTGGGGGGGCGGGGGGAGACAGCGCGGAGGGGGGAGAGAAGGAGGGAGGGAGGAGGAGGAGGGAAGAGGAGGAGGAGGAGGAGGGGGGGGAGCGGGGGGGAGGCAGGCAGAGCAGGAAGGGCTCGGGAAAGCTCGGCCGAAGTAGCCCCAGACCTCCTCTCGCTGCCGGCCCCCGGCCAAGCCGAGCGCGGCGGCGGCGGCGGGGGAGCCTTTGGCAGCCTCGCCCGGGGGACGGCGCGGAGCACGCTGACGTCAGCCTGCAGATGTGCCCCGGCTCCGGCGCCGCGCCCGCGCATGCGCGCCCCGTCACGTGGCGGCGGGGACTCGGGGAGGGAGGCTGGGGGGGGGCGGCGGGGGTACAGTCGGGGTAACGGGAAACAGCGGGACGCTGGGGGGGGGGGGGGGGTGAGGGGGCGATAACGGGGCCGCCGCCACCCGCGTGTGTGGGGAGGCGAGGGGGCAGCGGGCAGGGCGGGCCGCCTGCACGTCCATCCGCTTCCCGGAGAGGCGCGGGGGATGCCGGCGGAGGTCTGCAGCCGCTGTATTTTTATTTATTATTTATTTATTCCCGTGGGTTCCATTCGAAGTAACGGCAATAAGCAACCCGCCGCTTGCAGAGGAAGGCGGCCGGTGTGCAGCGCTTTCGCTTTCGCTTGCCGCGAGGAGCCCGGTGGTGGCACCGGGGGAGGCGCTGAGGGGACAGAGAGCCGGGCAGCCCCCCGGTAACCCTAAATAAATAAATAATATTTAATAAATAAAGCCCTTCCTGCACCTCAGGTTTCAGGCTCTTTGCTAACACGTTTCCCAAACTGGGCGCTCGCTGCGGTCCCGTGCCGGAGGCAGGCGGCGTGTGATCCCCCCGGTGACCCTACGGCCGAGCCGTGCGGCCACCCACCGCCGGGGCAGCGCCAGGCGGCGTGGCGGAATTGGCGATTCTGCCTGTAAATGGGGGAATTTCCTTCCAGCGCTGGCTCCGGCGGGGTCACCGCAAGCCGCCGCGCGGACTCTCCGCTCGCGCCTGTCACCAGCCCCGCTGGCATCCCCCGCCGGGTTCACTCAGCCGTTACCCGCCGGCCGTTAGGCACGTTACCGTTAGGGCTTCAGCGAAGTGAAAGGGACGTTAAATAACGGCCGGCAAGACGCCGAGCCCAGCCGCGCTGCGTGGCGGCCGCGGGACTCGAACCCGGGTCCCCGAAGCCGGCGCCGTGCGCGGGGCCTGCGCCCCGTCAGGCGTTGCTCGGGCCGACGGCGCCATCTCGCGCCGGCCGCTGAGGCGGCGGCGGCTGCTGCTTGGGCCGGCGCCCCCCGGTCGTGTCCCCCCCTGAAACCCTCGCCTGTGGTGGTTTTTGTCATTTATAAGGCGATCTTTTTCCCCAGAGATAACGTTTTGAGCAGAGCCGCGCGTGGGCCAGCTGCCTCCTGCGCGGCGGGAGCCCTGCCCGCGGATCAGGACGGGGTGGGGAATGCTGCCTGGCAGGGGGCTCCCCCTGCCTGGAGCCCATCCACGACCTATGGCTGATTAAATACTCATCAAGCTAAAAAGAAAGGCAGCTCGGCACTGTCTGGCTAGGGCACTCGGGCGGGTTCAACTCCCTGCTCTAAATCAAAGATTTGGGCTCTGCAAAACCCAGCTGCTTGCTCAGACCAACAAGTTATTTATTCCCTGTCCCAGACAACTAAATTTTCTTGCCTACACCCACTGCTGGAGCTGAGGAAATGTTTCCAATAGCAATTTTGTCAAAACTGGTATATTACCAGGAAAAGCTTTGGCTGCAGTTAAAAATTTCCTGACCATCTATAATTAGAATTTCTGACAGAATTCCCAATACATTTTGACTTACCTTTTTTGCCTTTTGCATATTATTTTTTTTTTCAGATTGAGCCTGGTTCAGATAAAAATAGCGAGGTTGTTTGATGACTTTTATTTTTGTCTCATCAGCCAGAATAATACCCATATGTTTTTGATTATCAGCAATTTTTTGAAAAAGTAACTCGCACAGAAAGTCATATGCAGATTCTTAGTATTTTTTCTTCGCTGGAAGTAGAAGTCTTTCTAAAACTGTCAAATAGCAGAGATAGGAACTCTACTATGAATTTTGATAATATGTGCAAGCCATTCTGTGTCTCAAAGGCTCTAGAAAGGATTACAGATTTATTGAGCACAGAGGATATTACTCCATGTCTTAACGTGTTTGTTAGTCTTTGCTGACCAGCGAAGTAGCTAGCTCAAGCACTGAGCACTCTCAACTTTAGGCCTTCAAATCCTTTAGCATGTCAGTCAACAGCTGATAAGATTGGCAAGCACACTTCTTTGTTTAAATAAGTATTTACATTAAACTTCAATTTAACATTGCTAGATATACTCAGAGGTATTTGGGGTGGATTCCAGGAATCTTGCTATTAACTCTATTAAATATGGAAGAGAAAGCTACAAGTTTTTTCTGCGCAGTGTAGTTCTGTAAAATGAGTTTCTCATTCCCTATATGCTTGGATAGACGCGCTTGAAAATATGTTTTCTCCAACATGTATCTTCATCTGGTCACTGAAGACTCAAGTGTCATAACCTATCATGTTCAGAAATATCCCAGCAGTGCTTGGGGAAAGAACAATCGTTTTTTTAAATTCAGTATAACAGAATAAATGACACCAGTTCTGTACTGACCGATTCCTGATCTGGTAAATTCCATGTAAGGAATCAGAAAATAATTATCTTACTATTCCTTTGTCAGGGCTGGGAAAAACTGGAGTGTGGCTTTTAGAACACATAGCAAATCTGTCAGATTTCTCATTTCTTTGCTTTTCTCCTCAGTATGGCTACCTCCTACCTCAAATTAGATTACAAGTCTCCTCCAGAGCTGGACAGCAAGCTACTGCTGCCTTTGGAGAAGCTAATAGGACAATATTGACAACCTACATATCTTCCCATTGTATTGTACATAACTTCTACCACCATGTAAATATGCTTACACAAGTAGATGAGCTCATACTTCATCCAGGCTCCTTAATTTAGACATATCCATAACCTAGTATACTTCTTAACTGAATAACTTCAGATGGCTTTTTGAATTCAACTTTGGTTGAAAAAGTCTTGACGTGTGAGGTAGAGAAGGTGACATGCTTGCTAAAATAGAGTTGATCACACAGTCAAAAAAAAAAAAAAAGTGCACAATAACCTTGCATTTACCTGTGCTATATATAGGTCCTGTGGTTTATCTGTGTTTATGGGGAGAAAAGCAGTACATAAGGGCTTCATGTACATAAGGGCTTCATTTTCAGTCCCCCGAACTAAAAGATCACAGTGTTGCTTGAAGATAATAATGCTGCTGAGACCCAGTATCAAAAAGCCTGAATTCAGTTTGCTTACAAATCTCATCTGCCTTTGCAGGAAGAGGTGTTCAGCCCAAAAACAATCACTCTCCATGCAAGAGAGGCAAAGGCTATTGTGCCTGGCTGTATTTCAGTGTGCCAAGGAAAGAGAGAATGCATATCAAAGTGTCCTTTCAATTGGAAAAATGCACCCCTTTTGAGCTGAGCTGTCCTTGATGGCCCTCTAAAACAAAATTCACAGCAATTAATTTTGTTTCAAGTATGGCCTTGAGGATCCTTCTGCCCAACAATGCGGATGTTGCCAAGAATATCTTCATTTAAATATGAAGAACCTCACTAAAGGCAAGATGGTAGACCATCCTTTTCTAGGATGCTCCCTGGGAGCAGCTGTTTGTGTTATGCTGATAGGGGCTTACTGTCACCAGAGCCTTCTTAATTCTACAAGAACCTGTGAACCTGAATAACCTGATTATTTTAGTGTAAGATTTGGAAATAAAACTGGAAAACTGAGTTCATGTAAGCTTGGCATCCCCCAGCAGGTCCTGGGCAGCCTCCTCTGTGACAGAACACAAGTGAGGCAGAGCAGAGAGAAGATCAGATGTGAATGTGGTGAGGGTACACTCAGGGCTCGCTCAAAACATGGAGGGGGTGGGCAGCAGGAGTGGTATGATTAACTCTCTCTATAATAAACCTGAAATGAAGCTCAAGCTGATTAGGGAATCTGTTTAGCAGAATGGATATTTGCTTCAAATTTTCCAGGCAAACAGATGGGCCTGATCCTATTCCTGATACAATTAAAGTAGAAAGCACAAAAAAAAAAAAATAATAAAGTTCCACAAAAGAACAGGAATTGCAGTTAGCAGAAAAGAACACAGAACTCAGATAAGACAGTTGTTTTCTTTCAAAGAGAGTATATTTTTCCGTTTTGTCTCTTTCCAGATTTCCTCATCAAGAGAGAGATACCAAAAAGATTAGCCTGGTAGGCATAAACGGTTTGTTAAATGGAGCATTTTCCAGCTATACACATAATAATTTTTCTATGTATATATTTTATTGTTCTGTTATTTTCCTATTTCCAGATAAAATTGTTCATAAAATCTCAACAATCTGTGAGAATTACAGAGGACAAAGTTGAGACAAATTGTACAATGTGTGGACAATGTCTATGGAAAATCTCTATGGAAAAATCAGGTAAATGGTATTCCTGAAAGATTAATGTATACAGAAACATATATAAGCTATGCATAAATTCTTAGCAAAAATGTAAGAATTTGGTTACTTTGATTTTAGAATGAAAAACCTGGAACTAACTCACAAGACTTGGCTATCAGCATGCAGAGCACTGCAGCGTTTTGCAGTCTGGCACTCGGCTCTAGGAATGACAGCCCATGCAGAATTAGGCACCTTGGTCTAAGAAGCTGGGTGATTTGTTTAGTTTCTGAACTGGAGGAAGGTTACAGAACTCGTAATGACAAGCATCGCAGACTGCTCATTTAGCATCTGCTGAAATATGTGGTGATTCTCCATTTCTTGGTACACTTTGTATAAATGCATGGACACATACACTAATGTCCGAGATTGTAAAACTGGATTGTGAAATGAGCATGGATTTATTTTGAATGGAAAGAATTGGACTTTCCATATTCCTGGACGGTATAGCTGGAGAAGATTTATTAAAGACTCTAGAGCATACAGTGCATACTGCTTTGGACACAGATTACAGTTTTTGTCTAATTTAGATAGCTTTTTGTCATTCATTCTACCATAGTGTCTTGTAACAGTTTATAAATGAAACTACCTTTAATAAAAGCTGTTAAGCCAATGGTTCAAGGAAGAATTGAAAACAAGGGTTAATACACACCTCTATTCTGGTAACTCTTCGGTATCCCCCCAAAAATGCAAAGGCAATTTGTGAACACAGTGAAGTGTTAGGTGAATGTAGTAAGAATCTTTTCCATTCCTTTCTTCCTACCTCACAAGTAACTTCTATGTTCATTTTCATATAGGATTATCACAACACTGTCATTACCTTGATTAGCGAGGACATTCCTTCTCAAAGGGTGTTTTTACAGCCCCCTTAAAAAGTCCACTATTTTGCTTTTACACCTTATTTAGGTTTGGCTGGCTTTGTATGAGGGTGGTTTTCACAGCAGCAAGGGTTCTGACCTCCAAAAGCAAATGAATTTTGGGTATGACTCCCTAAGCAGATGAATTTTAGATATGGCCCAGTAGCCATTTTTATGTTAAGAATATCCTTCAGCTTCTTCAGTACAAATTTTAAGTGGCTGAACTTTAAATACCTTTCCATCAGTTTTCAAAGGAGTCCACTGGTGTTATCAGGCATCCACTGCACTGTTGGACTTCACACTGAGGCAGCAAAGGAACATCCATATATTGTGTTTTGCTGCTCTGCCGTGACAGCAGTGATTTCACATGAAGGAGCACTAATGAAAATATCCCCCCAAAAGAACAAAATAAGTCCCCCAAAAGAACAGTTACTCTCTCCCCTATAGTGACCACAACCATTTGTTAAATGAACCTGTCAAAATCCTTGGCTACCTATAAAAAATCTGGGAGCAAAAGCAAATACCATGATGCTTAAAAATGTATATTAAACTTTGATAGGACTTAGTGCTATGAATCTTCTGATATTCCTCTAAATATTCTTGAAATGCTTTCAGTCTTACATGTATCTTGAATTTTCGTTTTGTAAAAGCTTATTGTTGTGTTTTAAAGCTAAAACTAAAATAAAGAACTTTCAGTAGAAGCTCAGAGGTCACAACATAAATTTTCCAGCGTCTGAAAAATGTCTTTTTCATATTTTGGTGGCAAATCAGCCATCAATTAAAAAACACAAAAATAAAATTTGGTTCTAAGAAGTCAAGAGCTTATATTTCTTAGTTGCAAGTCTATCTGCAATATACAAACTGTGAATTGAAATATGGCCTGGGTTTAACATACTTTTATTCCTGTTATAGCCATTAAGTGATGATTTGCAATGAAAGGCAAGTTATACCAAAAAAGGATGAGTTTCAGTTGTTCTAAAAAAACTTTCAGAAAGCTACTTTGATGCAAATATTATGGCTCAACAGGCTTGCACAGTATATACTGTAGTTCTGCATTCTAACATGAAATAACCATAAGACTATCCAGAGATAAGATGTTGGTTTGTGGTTGTTCACAGATGTCTGAGGGCAAAGGAGGAGGGAAAAGCAACTTGTTCCTGTGTTTGTACTTACATGGTGAGCCAAGATCAAAAGCAGCCTCATCCTCCATCTGGTCATCTCTGGAAACTCTGAGTTGAATTCAAGCTGATTATAGCAGCAACCTTCTGCACTTCTGAAAGAGTAATTTCCCCAACGCTTATTTTCCCCCCTCTTTTTTTTTTTTTTTTTTTTAAAGAAAAAACAAAAACCAACAAATGAGCAAAAACCAAACAAGCAAAATACATAAATAAATAAAAATGCTGTGTTGCCACAGTGCCTGAAACTCCATCAGTGGTACTAAGGTCTATGTATCATTTTCATAAACTTTGTATTTAAGAGTATATCAAGATACTTGTCAGACAAAATGAAAGTATTCTAAGTAAATGGAGTAATAGCTAAGAAAATCTATATGCTTGAAGAAAATGCTAAACCTTTAATTTCAGATCATTGCATCCACAACTGCATCTATAATCCAGCATAGATCTGCACAATTTCATACGCAGATCAGGTTATCTAGCAATAAATTGAGTAAGTTCTCATATAAATTATTGCATGATTTTCTGGATAGATTTGATTTTATACTTAACACAACTCTTCCAGTGCAGCCACTTTGTATAAAGTTCAGCCAGCTGTAAGCACCTACAGCTATCCTGACTAAACAGCACATTTAGGAGGGCAATCAAGCTTACACACTGAGAGCAAACACAGATGCAGATATCCCACCTGAAAACACTTATCTACGGTGATACAGCCAGTTATGGTTGGCATTTGTTAAGAGATCAGATGAGGCTACAAGGGACTTCAGTGCAATGAAGCATTTGTCACTCTGTAATGTAAAGGTCTACGTAAATCATTTAATTAAATTTGTGCATCATCATGCCCTCAGTTCAGCCGGTACAATTTTTATATCGTGCCCATGTACCTTTTAGTAATTGAATGCAAATGAGGTAATTTACAGTTACTTCCACCCCTGTAAGACTGCCTGTTTTCCTAGCCTAGGCTCATAACTCTATGAAAACCCAGTGCTCCTTGCGGGACCCTCCCAACTCAGGATATTCGGTGATTCTCTGACACCGTTAATCACCTGGGGTTAGAGCCTGGCCATTGAAAGTCTACACAGAGAGAGTTTTATTCTCATTTTCAAATAGCTGGCCCGGGTACCATTCTCGCTCTCTGTCCCCCGTTACAATGTCTGACTTTCAGAGGTGAGGAACAGAATTGGGATTCTCTCTGAATAAGGCTGGGGGAGGGAGTGGGCTAACCTTTGCTCTCTGTTTTACCCCAGATTTTCAGCTTTGCACATGAATGGATACCCTTCTATTGAGGCCTTTCTGTTGGGGGATGAAACAAACCAACTGCAAAAGAATACCACGGAATTCACTTTGTGCACTATCTCTGCAAAGTTTTTTTTTTTTTTTTTTTTTTTTTTTTTTTTTTTTTTTTTTTTCCCTGAGACTCCATGGGGAAAAAAAAATCAGAAGCTTGAAACGTCTTGTGCAAAACATTCAGAATAGACAGGACAACCCAGCATTCCTCACAGTCGGCTCTACAATAAAACTGCACGCAAATCTCTTACCAACTACACACTTTCTTACCAAAGATGGAGTGTAAAATAAGTTGCTATAATTCTTCTGAAGCCCATCTGTGGTTATGAAGATAAAATGTTTTGCACTTGTTTGTTTAATCGCTGCTGCCCTCTAAGGACAGAGACTGGGGTGCCTTTTTTCTTTCTTACTTCCTATTTTAGTTCAATAATTTGGGGATTTTAATAAAATATGCATAATCTGCAAAAAATTTTTTTTTTCATCTTGAGGACAGAACTCTGGATGACAAAGTGCCCGTAGTCTCTATAAGTACAATTATATGATATGATTGTTTTTCTCTAAGAGCCTTATTGTGGTCGTGTTGTTAAACATTACATAAATTCTAGTAAATGTGCCTGGGTGGACTTGTTGCTACCAAACTGTCTTCTGCCCCCTTGCTAACATTTAGGTCTTTAAACATCTCAGAACTTTTTCTACACGTTTCATTTATGTGTTTTATCTTGTATGATTCAATATGAAAAGCTTTGTAACTTAACCATAAAATAATGTTTTGCTATTGCAAAAACCTTTTTATCTTGTCTTATGGTTAGTTTAAGCTCAGATCCCTAGCATTTCTCATCTTTGTTTTCAAATAAGCAGTTTCTGAAACATTCATACAGTTTGATAACTGTACAATACAAGCACTGCAGTTTTACAATTAGGAAGATCTTAATACTAATGTCTGTATTTTGCTTTACAGGCTGAGTATAAAGTGTAGTGGCAGGTGAAGACCCAGAGCTTTGGGCTGTGAGAATTAGCTGAGACTGGGAAAGGGCTCACCTATTGTTGCTTATCTGGCTTAGACTCAGCTTTTCAGACAGGAGTACAGGCCCTCACAGCAAGCAGTTCTGCTTTTGAGGTTAAATTAATGTAGTCTAGATTCCACAAATGATTAAAAAAAAAAAGTCAAGTTTAATTTAGGCTAATTAACTATAGTTAGAAGGTAATTTGCATGATTAACAAATGGATTTTTAAGCTTTGGAGAAAAATAATGTCTAAAAGGAAATCCCCCTTTAAAATAGTTTATTTGGGATTCGCTTCTTATCTTCTTATCCATCTTTCTTGTTATTTTACCAAAATAAACATACTTAATTGTTTTCTCCATTATACTGGTAACAAGATCAGAGTTCTCCCTACAAATATGACAGCTTTGTCAGAGTAGGTAATTTGTATTTCCTAACTTTGCACTTGGTCATCAGGCAATCATCCCATGGCAGGCAGCATAATACTGTAAGCCCTTGAGCTATAGTCGTAGCCTGGCCAGCTGGAAGCAGAATAGGTTTCCCCTTACCCATTGCCAATGTGCTGGACTCAACCTATTCCCTGAAGAAAAATGACTATATACCTGGCACTAAATTTAGCTACTAAATTTAAACTCCTCCTGCCCCTATACACTAAGCTTTCTATCTGGTTCAACACTGAACTCCTATGATCTGGCCAGTGTGGATTCAGAAAGGGATCTTAGCCATCAATAAATGCAGTGAAAATGAGTCTTTGTTTTGCTTTCCTTTCCCTCATAGTCCTAAAAGGAAGTTTCAGGAGGACGGAAAATGTGGCAGATGCAGCCAATCTGACATGCCATCTACAATCATTTTGGCTCCATTTCTTGCGCCAGTCCACATCCGATTGCACTGCTCCAATTCTCTCACAAATTACTGTCGTCTGTAGCAATGTGCGTGCCTAACCAGCAATCTGAACCAAATGCAGATTTTCTAGAAAGGAATAGGAAAATAATCTGAATAGTCACTTTTACTAAATGAAAAATATTTTTAGTTAGGGTTCTCAAGTGTTCCTGGGACTTGTACAGATTAATCCAACACCGTATGGAAGAATCATTTTATCTCCATCTTGTGATTGTTTAAAGTAAGTCCCACCAAACTGAACAAATGCTGGCTCCGTGACTTGCAGACATTAATTTAACCCTCACAGCTCATGAGTCCTCTGATGTCCCTTCATTCTAGAGAAAATTTAGTTACAGAATTAATATCTTTATGTCAAATGAGATTACATTATAAACTAGCCATATATGTTGTAAGCCTGATGTTGCTATATGAGAGATGAACAAATATGAAGAACTCTGGCTTAAGAGATCAGTAATAAAATCTGACTATGATAGAAGCAGAAGCATGGTTCTCTGACACTGAAAAATGAAATCAAGCTAATTTTGTGTTTAATTTCAGTGAAATTAGGATTGGCTTCTTTATTTGTTATTGATCTATTTTGACGCTTAGGACTCCATAACTATCTGCAGATTCCGTGATACCTAAAACCTTTTTTTATGTCAAAATGGAATGACCCATTAAAACCTCTTACAGCCACCCTTAGTATGCGTACCAACAAAAAGATGAACATATGCTAACTTGACAGAAAAAGAAAACGATACATAGATACTTCATAATCCATACTTCAGAATCCATAACCACATCCCTTAAATTAAATAGAAACTAAAGAGGCATTTTTCCATTGCATTTTTAGACCAAGAACAGTGTGATTTTTTTCTGTGTGACATTCATATTCCAATGTCTACCCTGTATTAAGTCTAAACATAGTGAAGCAATAGAGCCAGCACTACTTACAATATTTTTTGAATAAAATAATGGTTTAGCAGAAAGCAATCTTTATATGAGCCAAGAACTTTACAAGTTGCACTACTTCTGCTGTTGCTCTATTCCCCTCCAGTACACCAATAAATCTGGGGCCAATAAAGAAACCTCAAACCTGTAGAAATTGTCTGTAGAGAAAAAAAAAGTAATGAAAAAAAATCAAACAAAAAAAAACCCAAAAACCTAGAGGGCAAATTTTTGGGCTTATATCTGACAGTGATTAGTCTCTTACAGCGGTGCACAGTTTTCACCTCATTTTTTGAGTCTGAGAGTTTAGGAATAATGACAGCAAAATTGAAAAGTGTTTATTTATTTTTAAAAATTATGTGTTTTTCCTTTTAATACTGAGAGAAAACTTCCGTTAAACCGTACAACCAAGGCACTTGTCTGAGACGGGAGAGATACAGCTTCATAACCCTGTCTTAAAGTTGATATTATTTAAAGTAACTGGAGGTGATTTAACATAAAAACAAAGCGAGAGCTACGCTGGACTGGTAAATGGGTTTGCTGTCCTGGTGTTCCATTGCACAAATCAAGGAAAAGATAATGACAAGCTGTAGCCTGGATTTTAACTTCCATAAAACTGAAAAAAAGAAGTCCTGATTGGTTCCATCTACTATGGACTATAACTATTACAAAGAAAAAAAAAAAGTCTATGAAATGGCACACCTTACACTGAAAGATTTCCAACTATTCCATCACTACATTTACAGAAACTTGTTTTATATTCAACTTTTTGAAAAGTTGCTATTTTCCACAGTTTTCTTACTCTTTGTAAAGCTCAAGAGAGGGAGTATAATTTGGACAATGATCCTATAAATTGATCTGCCAGGACTGAAGAATGTCAGCAATCAGCATGCACTGTATAAAAACCTTTGTAAAGAAAAGATGTTCCCTTTCAAACTCTTAACCAGGAACTACTTTTTTTTTTTTTTTTAAATAAGGATAGATAACAGTAATAAATAAACAACAAATAGAAATTTAGTGCCTAGCATATGCTTGATCTTTGATGCACTGTTTTTCTGGTACAAAAAGTGTAAGGGAAGCACTACATATTCAACATGCATAAAAATCTGGTCACTTAGGCCAGAGGCTAAATACAGAAGTAAGTATGCATCATCAGTTTATAATTTGCCTCTAAAATGCTGTTCATCAGTCTCTTCCAACAATCTGTAATTTGTTTTTGTGACTATAATGCTTTTTTTCCACCTTCCCAGTTTTGTGTGTGGCAGAGATTTCCTTGCACCAAAATCAATTGTTGAGAAAATTATGCCCCTTTCTGATTCATTAATTTTGTTCTAGGAACAAAGAACTGGATGGACCAACAGAAGGTATGACTACACGACTGGATAGTTATGGCCTGTTTGCACAATTATTATTATTACTGTTAATAATATTTTCACTGTCATGGGCTTGGGAGCAAGTGGTAGGTTATTAGGAAGAAAAGCACAATAGTGCTCACTTTGAAGGGAGACCCATAGCTTTATTATTGTAATTCGTATTTTCTGTAGGAATAGTTTTTGTAGTATTTTAGTATTTTCCAACTGGGCCTGGAATGCAGGTTTACCCACAACACTTTTAGACTTCCCCTGGATGGTCCAGTCTGCAGTCCCTGTGCCATGATTACCAGGGTCAGTTTTCCATTGTTTTTCCTTGTTGACACTGGAACCAAACACATTTTTGTGTAGCACTAGGTATCTCCTGTTTGGACAGTTTCGTACAGTAATCTTCCGACAGGTGTACAGCTGAAGGTTGAAGAAGAACAGCTGAATGATCCAGAGAGCTAACCAAGCTACCTCATCTCACCTCAGCTCCTCTCCTCACCACAGCTCCTCTCTCACCTTGGCAGCTCAGGTGTGCACCCCTCACAGCCAGTTTGGAATTTATGCTGATGGCTTGCTTCTCTGGAGTCAGCAACAAGTGGCAGATGAGTAGTCTTAGGAATTATCTCCCTAATAGGTGTTGGTGTGGTGTATGGATGAAATACTTTACAGACCTCATAGAATGCATGAGAACTGTCACACAATGCAGCTGCTTATTTCTGCCTAACGAGATTTTCAATGGGTTTCCTGGAAGCTGGTCATAGGAAGGAGATGCATTTGAAATGTATTCATCTCCTTGCTCTTTGCAGTAGCAGCCTACTCAGAAGAAGGCTGACTGTCCTAAACAGGAAGGTAAGTGAAGACCCAAGAAAACTCCCAGTGGAATAGATGGTCTCTAACAAGGCTCACTCTTTTTTGGGATGATTAAGGTATGGCATAATGAGCTGCTGGAAGATCATGCTAGTCCCATATACTTTCTAATGTGTTGGGAGGCATCCAGACTTTCTTTCTTTTTCTTTTATTTTCTTTCTTTTTTTTTTTTTTTTTTTTTTTTTTTTTTTAATCATTTTTCATATTGGGTCTTTTCCTTCTAACAAGATTCAGTGGGATTCTGTAAATTTTCTTTCACTATTTTACAATGGGTTACTTATACT